GTCAAAAACCATCCGGAACTTATATTGAGCATCCAACGTTTCTTGTTGTAATGGAAGTGCTTCGGTTTCATCCTTTGAACCCCTGGCTGAACCACCCCCCCAGAAGCGGGATGGACCGATCGACGCTACGCTCCGTGCACGACGCCTGTGCACAAACCGGAGTGGTGAGAAACCCCAGACCCGGCCAGGTGAGTTTGGTCTGGACAGGTGAGTGGATCTGACAGGCCGGTGTGGCTTCTGAGTTGGCAGAAGAGAAGCACCGGTCTTCGTTGACCCGATGGGAGGTGACCCAGAACCAAACGTTCTCTGCAAACCGGGACTCCCAACAACATCGTGCTGAATTGATGGCATTCGCATTGCACCATGAACGAACTATATATTAGATAACTGCTGAAAAGAAGCTCATTACATGCAGCTTTACATCCCTTTCCATCCTGCCTGTCCATCCCTCATCCTTTACTCGTTTCAACATGATGAAAGCATGATTCAACAAGAGCTGATCTGATTCCAGGCAACCCCCACCATTGGACGTGCGCGCCACGCGTTGCCGCGAACCCGTTTCGCGCCCGTTTTGCACGTCCAACCCCCCCTTTACCCCACGAAAGAGTGGATCCGCCGAACTGCCGCGCCGAACCACCTGCACGTCGTAGGGCGAGTTGCTTTGGAGGCCCGTGACCTCGGCGGAACTTCCAGCGAAGGCGGGGTGGGGTGAGGGTGAACCCGCGAGCTCACAGCTCACAGAAAAGGAGGGGGGGAGATCGAGGAGCACAGGTGAATCTCCGTTTCGTTGAAGAGAAAGGCTGAGCTTAAGCTGAAGAGTTCCAAACCAAGTGTGACTTTTGGGGTTGAGCTGGCAGGTTGAGGAAGACGAAGCTTCAAAGGATCCCCCCGCTCGGCAGTAACTGTTGTTTGCCCTTTGAAGGAGTTGTAGGGACGCCACTTTTTAAAGACAATGAACAAGCGAAAAAAAGAAAACAAATAAGATCTGATACTTGGAGCTTGGAGGCCCAAAATAGATGGTGGAACCCCCCTCTATACAATCGGTGGTTGGCTCAGCTGTGGACAGGACAAGGACCGTGGCCCCCCTCAGCCCCCGCTGTGGCACGCTTTTGCACGCGCCAAGCCCTCGCGCGTTCCGCGCGGCCCGAGAACCTGATGGAGCGAATGGGTGGGCAGGGGCTTTCGGAAGCAAAAGAGTAAGAACTGAACACCTCTTTTGACCGAACTCGAGCTTTCTATCGGACCATTTTATACCTATATATATAGTTCTATATATTTAGCACTTCTTGTTTCAAGGGGCCCGTCGGCCCGTGGAAATGGAAACCTCATGGAGGCCAGGGGCCCGTCCAGGTAGGTGACCATTTCGGAAGCAGCCTCAGGTGACCAGTATTTCTCTGCACCAGGATGTGGACACCACAGGCAGATAGGGCGGCCAGACCTGGACCATCCTGGGCGGTGTCCTGTCTGATCCTTAAGTAGTGAAGGGTATATGGATACTTTGGCTCTCCTCTTGGCGAGAAGACCTGGAAGACCTGGTGTGCACTCTTGTGGTAGATTTCCCCACAGTCTTCTACAAGATCATTGACCCTAAACCTCCAGTCGTACCTCCTCAGGTTCGGTGTTTGGACCATCCTGGCACCCACCCCAGTCCCACCTTCTCAGAAGGTACGACTGGAGCCCTAGGGTTAGATTTTATAAGGAATCAACAAACGCAGTCACCGATCCGATGCTCATCTCATCAGCACAAGTCTTTTGACATGTCATCGAATCTCATCAACCAGACCAGCTGCTCTGCCTTCGTGGCGAGACGACGCATCTCAAACAGCCGGCCGCTGGTTGCCGCTAGCCGCTGGCCAAGCTGCGTGGCCGCTCTGCGTGACCTCACCAAAGACCAGAGAAGCAGGATCACCTGGTCTTGCGCCACTTGGAGATCTCTGTAAAACCCAAAGTGGCCAGAAGACAATCAGCTGAAAGCTGATTTCAGCTGATTGTAAAACGAATACAGGTTGGAAACCACCTACCCAGTACTCTAGTCTAGTGGCCCACACCCACCCACCCCAATGTTCAGGACACGACATCGCCATCACCCTCTGCCTCCCACCGACTTCGAGGAGCTCCCGATCTTGACGGCTGCGGGAGTCGATTTTCCACGACCTCGGTGGTTGGAGTTCCCGCTGCCGTCGTGCGACAGTCGTCCTTTGGCACCACCCCCAGTGAAGAAGATACCCTACGACGGGGTCACAGTCGACGGGGTGGTGTCGTTTGTCCCATCTGAGTGGATCCGGACCCCGATTTTCCAAACCGTTCGTTCAACAAGTACCCTTGTGACTGGGAGACAGCTGTCGTCTTGGACTTCCAGCGAATCAGTGCATGAAAACCCCGCAGTTGATGACCCTAATTACAAGTAACGATTCCATATTAATTAAGGATGGTCTGGGTGCATGATCTGATCCTCACAGGCTTGTTACGTCGGCGACCATCATCCAGTACGAAGCGTCTTGGCCATTTGGCCACGTATGGAAAAGCCTCGTCAAGGAAATCAAAGTGTTAAACCGTTGATCACATCACCCACCCAACGATATCCAGTTCGACCAGCCACATAGTAGTGCAGCAAAGGGAGTTGTAGAAAAATGTCCTTCACCTTCCCTCCACAAACACCAAACAATCCTCTGTTCTCTCATGTTCTCCGAGCGTCCTGTCCATGAAAACGGCCACACCATGCAGGGAACCCTACGACAAGTCCAGTCTGACCCTGTAAAACCTGGTCTGTTTCATCCTGAAGTAGTGGTGCTTTTCCATGACGACGTCCAGTACTTCATGAGGTCCGTCAAACTGATCTCTAGTGACTATCACGCAATGCTCCTGTCGCACGGCGACAGGAGTCTGGACGAGGAGAGTGAAAACCCGATCTTGACGGCAGGCCACACGGAGACCCATCTGCAAAATGGTAAGAACTGGAGAATACATCCCTTTTGATGCGCATGCAGTGTTTGCCATTCAATGTCTCAAAGCCTGTATGTGTCAATTCCTTTTTTCGGAGACCGCCACATCAACAACATCACTCACCTCCAGCCGAGTGCTCCTCATCCAAAGCTGGGATCGCAGCTGCCAATCCTGGGGTCCGGGGCTTCCTGGGAGTTGTTACTTCACTCACCGTGGTCTTTTTTGGAGTGTGGCATCAGCTGGGAATCACACTGCGCAGCAAACCGGCGAGGTTGGTGGTTTTCTGTGCCAGTGAAAGGTGAAAAGTCCAACCACGAGGCGCAAGCCGAGACAACGCTCCCATGTGGGAGTCAAGCCTTACAAGCCAAAAGGAGTCGCTCTGACGTGTCTGTCCTTCGCTCTGCGTTTGGCCTCCTTTTTCGCCTGTGGCGCCACAGGTGCTTGCACAAGTGACTCGGTGAAAATGCCGTTGAAAATACGAGGGAAATAACGAATGATCTTATATGATCATGCGCAAGATAAAATATGATCCTGATCATGCTCCCTGGCTTGACCGGAAAGGTCATGTTCGATGAAAGGGTACCTCTCCCAGGGCATGATCGCGAATTCGTGGTGTAGCTTGGTCTCACGAGAAGACTTCGTCTCGTGGAGTGGCAGCCTTCTGGCTGAGGCCTGTCCGCGTGTCTGAAAAACAAGGCCTCGTCTTCCCTCCAAACCACAAAAAGAACAACACGCAAAAGAAAAGATGTTCCGAAACTTTCGCAGCTCAGTTGCTGGGTTGCTTGCTGCTTGCAAAGCTGCCAAATGCCACAAGGAACCCTCCAAGAAACCTCGGGTGATGAACTGGAGAAATGCATGGAGCCTGCCCAAAACGAGAGCAACCCACAGGACCAAGGGGCCGCTAAGGAAGAACTTGTCCTGCCATGTTGGTTTTTGTTTAAAGAATGCATTCAATAAGTTGCGCGAAGAGAAGGCTGACACAGGCATAAATTGGTTCTCAATGCTTGGAGCACGTTTCGACTGGAGACAAAGGAAGCATAGCAGACCATGCTCATTTGCAAACCGGCCATCAAGGTCTTGGATGATCACAGAGTCAGGAAACAAACCCTAAAGTAGAAGTCAAGCCCTAAAGGAAGCCCACCGAAACACTAGAAGTGCAGCCTGAAAGCAAGCCCACAGCAACCCTGAAGTGAAGCCCAGGCCCAAGGAAACCCTATAGGCTTATAGGCGTGAAACGCTAAACCCAGCCCAAAGAAACTAAGAAACCCTGGAGCATGATTCCCTTTTTTCAAATCCAAACAACTCCTAAAGAAGCGCAGCCTCAAACCACGCCCCCAAACGCCTGAAGAAGTGAAGCCCGGTTTCCAGGTTTCCTGACTCTGACAAAAAGGTTTCATGACTCTAGTGCAGGTTTCCTGACTCCGTCTTCTCCCTCAAGGTCTTACTGCATTGCAAGCAACTCCGAAGGTAAGACTTGCTCGTGCAACCATGCAGATGATAGAGCAATCACAACGAACAAATTCAAGTTCCCGATGATGCCTGTCGTCAAGTGGACTGATTCCGTCCCACTCATGGTGTCAACTTGGGAGTGTGGCACCACGCGAGGTTCTTAGGCACTAGCCTCAAGTTGGATCGCAACGAAAACAGCCACCCGAGCGCTGGCAAATGCAGAGACTAACCCCGCAGAAGATGGAACCCAATAGCCCGAGCTGCGCTTTGGCACTGATGCTTGAAAGGCTCCTCCAACCTGCTAAGCCCTCATAGCTGAGCGCCATCATCCTGTGTTTGTGTGAGAAGAAGAACACCAAACAACGACAAACAGAACAAAACCTGCGCTCCTCAAACGGTACTCCCCCAAAGGACTTCACACAAGAAATTGAGACAAATTCACATCCAAAGGATCAACAATGTGATGCTGCCAGACCAAAAGCCATTCCAAAAAACTAGCGGCAAAGGAGAAGGAGTGCTGGAGACCAGCTCATACTGCCACACACCTCTTGCTGCTCATAGCAAGGCACTGAGCGCGGCCAAGATGAAGGCTGACAGGGAACCATGCACTAGACCCTCGATGCTGCACATACTCCCGACGCAAACCAATCCCACGAAGAGGAACAAAGCAAAGTTGGAACGCCTCTGAAGGCGCATGCACATGTCAATGCATGCACGCTTGGGGAAGAAGAGCTGGACACTTTGAGGGGAAGTATGGGGTTTTCCACTGGAAGTCGACAGGAGAAGTCGTGATTGTTGGTTCCAGAAGGAACGTGTTCCGATTCCAATGTTCGTGAAAGAACTGCAAGAGAGTCAACACCTTCTAAGCAAACTGTGAGTAGCTTCCCTTTGATCTGCTCAAGGTCCAAGGTCACAATTGGCACATTAACTGCAATCATCGACATGAAAGCAATGGATCCATCTGTTGGTGAGCAGCGAGAGGCCATTCAACATGGAGATGGGCAAGACCTGCAAGGCATGCTCCATCCTGGGCTTCTCCAAGATCGCGGTCACCTCGAAGAAGTGCGAAGTGACCATTTCTTGCTGGAAGTCAGGGAACAAACCCAGACCATCCATGGGACAAAACATAGCTACTTACAAGTCATGTTCATGGGGTATATTCCATACCCAAACGCTCCATGGGACTGCCATATATGCCGCCTTGACCCCCCCAAACCACCACCCCTGGCCGTTTCTCGGCATCTATGGCAGTCCCAAACGGGTCGTGTCTGATGGATGGTCTGAATAAAAAGCTCTTGAGACCGACCCGTCGAGGCCGTTGCCCGCCCCAACGCCCGCCACACTTCGCCCTCGAACAACGGCCCAGTCGCCAGGCAAACGGCAAGCATGTGCATGGCGGAGATGGTGTTGGGAAAGGGGTATACCCTCCATCGCTTCTTTGACGCACACCTCGCGCATTTCGCGCGTCACGGGTGAGAGACTTTCTGGAAAGGCGAGAAGAATGCTTTCAAAAGGCGGGGGGGTCCTTTGTTTGGAAAGCCGCGCACCTGAAGCGCTTTCGGCTTTCAGGGGCCCGGTGTCGAGGCGAAACCAATCGCTTGGCGTTTTCCGAGTCTTCCTGGTCTAAAAGGCATCCTCCAAGGCCTCAATTACTTTGGAACCGACCTTGTGCTTCTGTTCGTTCGCATCTGTTCCAAAAAGCACAGAAGCACAACTCAAAGCCTTGATGAAGGTCATGGCTGCCAAGTAGGAAATGACCACCAGAAGCGTTGGAAAGCCCTGGTAGTCAGTACGCAACGGGGCTGATGGCCATCAAGATCAAGGCCTCACAGCGACTCCGGTTCAAAGGACCAACAACCACCTGTTGGATGTGATCGAGACCGGACCGCGCAGGCATGTGATCCGGCGTAGGCCAGTAGGCCACCGGTGCTTTTTTCAGGGTCTGTACATGACCAATTCGAAACATTGACTGAAAGCTTTTAAACTTTAGAATACACCAGGGCCAGGTATTCTGAAGTCAACCATTTGGGTCTTTGAAGGGTGTAAACTGTAAACTTGGGAAGCTCAAAACACTGTCCGGTGACTTTCTGAGACCTTCCACTACAATGTCGCTACAAGCCTGTTCGTACTTGCGAGTAAACAGTTTCTCGTTTGACGCGATCAGCCATTCCCTCACCCCATGGTATGTTTGTTTGATCCAGTTTCAGAGTAGATAGCTGATAGCACTATCAAGGGCCAAGGGCTGTTGATAGTGATCTCAGAGCAGCCTACCGGGTTGTGACATCTGAAACTTCCCTCAAATTCTCAAGATTCAGTCACTTCCCTCCAGTCCATCCGCAAGTACTTCAACATGTGTTTCTTCAACCCATGGGATCCCATGGGATGTGCTCCATCCTGATTTGCCACAGCGGATTACAGTAGCTCCCTGCCATTACTAGGAACAAGAAGCTACGAACGTAGCAATTCTTGCTACGCCTGGACACTCTTCGCGTCGCAGTGAAACGATGTGAAACGGCCTTACCGGGCTTCACTGGACGAATGACGAACTCAGCTAGGGACCCGACCAGCAATGCATGCAAGACCCAACGGTCACCAAAGGGTGACGGTGAGGGCGCCAAGCTCGACTGCGCCGGTCTTAGCTCTTGAGCTTGATATGGCACAGCTCCTTGGCTCAAAACGCAGAGGTGGCCGGCTGGAAGAATCCAAATCTTCAAAACACATCCCCGTTTCCTTGAGGAAATATGGCACAGCGGGGGGTTCAATGCTCCAAAGCATCCATCGTTTAGGGTGAAAGTGATGGAAGACGGACGTCAGAGCGAGGTGTCGACACCTTCGTCTTCGTCCTTGAGGCGTGTCTTCGCGCAAAGCCATTCGCGTCTGCACGGCAAGGAACATCAGTTGGGCAAGTGTTGCGACCATCACATGGCTTCGTCCATCCCTGTCACCCCTTGGATTCGGAGATGTTTACAGTTTCAGTTTCTAGAGTAGATGGCGCATTCCCCCAAAGGTGGTATATCAATCAAAGACATCGAACCTCTGGAACGACTGTAGATTCTTATATAATGCACCTACTACATGTTTACTTAAATGTTCTCTTCTTACTAAATGTATCAAGGACACTACTATAGGTGGAGGACATCGCTAGTAGGTTGGAGGCCATCGCTACTAGTACTAGTAACAAGAAACTAGTAGGGTGGAGGCCATCGCTAGTGGGTTGGAGGCCATCAAGGTAGTAACAAAAAGCTGGTAGGGTGGAGGCCATCGCAGGTAGGTTGGAGGCCATTGCAGAAGCTACTAGTATCAAGGAAAACAATTGAGGGTAAGAAGAGTGATATGCCCGAACTGTATGGAACGCCGCGATTCGCCACGTTGTCCTCGTCGCCGCGTTGTCTGACTTGATAGGCAGACCATCCGACTGCGCAGGTACCGACACCATCCGTGTGTCGGTCTCGACAGACGTCTGTCCGTCGGGTTGAGACCGCCGTTGACATGGCATCCCTCGGGTTGAACTGCAGCAAGCTGAAGGTCTTGCAAGCGGGATGTCACGTCTCAGACGAGGAAGGTATGGTGCTGACAAATAGGCACAGCAGAACACGAAACATGGGGATTCGATCGATGCCGCACATGTCATCTCAACGGCATGGCGGACACCACAGGTGAAACATTTGAGGTCCAAATGCCTTCAGCGCGGTGACGGCGACGGCAAAAATGATCCGGATTCTCTTGGAATCTTTTAGAGGGGCTATCTACAGGCCAGGCATAGCTCGTCACCAATCGCGTCCCAAAAGCCTATCCGGAACATCTTACCCTCTCGGAAGGGAAACTTTCTACCGACTAGGTAGTACTGGCCCACTACAACCACCCCAAAAAAAAACAAAAAACAGAAACGCCGCGCCCACCAAGAAGCGAATCCGCGTATCAGCTCCACGTAGTCTCACTGCACGTTCGTCGGTCCCGTCTCACTGCACCCGTCGTAGCTGCTCACGCACTCCACTGCTGTCGCCACCGGAGTCGGCATCGCCCCAGGTCACGACCTCGAGCGCGGGGGGTTGGAGAATGTGATGTGGTGGGGATGTGACACCCCAAAATTGGTGTTCCAATAATGTAAGATATATATCATACATCTCATATATATCTGAAGAAAGCTATATAGTGTAGGCTCCCTAGGGATTTAAATACCTTCTCAGAAGGTAATTGGACCCTCCAAGCCTAGATAAAAGTGTCCCCAATCACCTTCTCAGAGGGTATGTGGATCCACAGGGACTATAAGTGTAGAATATATAGGGACCCTCCATCTAGTGTAGGAGTGTCTATTAAGTGATCCTGTAAAGAAGCAGCTGGGACGTGACTTGTTCGTGGATGATGTTTGCAACAGGACCCCCAAAGCCCCCCGGCCCCTTGATCGCCGCGACCCCCAAAGCGCCAGGGCTACAAAGAGATGAAGAGCTCCTTAAAGCCCGACCAGCCACCAAGTGTCTAACTTCACCCCAAATGGTTCAAAAATCCGTCTTTCAGTTTAACATGATGTTCTATTCACACCCTAATTAGGGAGAAGGGCATCTAACCTGAGCCGGATGGAGAAGGGCTAGCGGCGCTAGCGGTGTTCTCCACAATCCTTCTCAACACCTCGGTGTTCTCCACTCCGCTCTCCACAGTGTCCACTCCAAGTCTCCTCTCCGTCGCCCAAGATCGCAGCAAAAGCACCGAAGGAGGCCTAGTAGTGAGGCACCGAATGGATCCCCAAGCGAGTGGACAGTTTGGCCCTCTTTGGACACACATGACCCTGGGCTGGAAGAAACAAACAATTGGGCACTCCCATAGAACCAATTCCTTTGGAGTCTTAGATGGATTCTGGATCTTCATGGATTCTTGGGTGGTGGAACTCCCGGTTTCCCTGCCCAGTGTCACCGGTCAAAGATGTCTTTTGCAAGACCTGGTGAGCTGACCTCCACCCCATTCGATCTATCCATCCAATCCCATGCCATGCCATCCAAAATCCAATCCAATCCAATCCATCTCCCACCATCTACCCCCACATGATATCAACCAAAAAGACCGACCGCCAAACCGCAGCTCTACCCGCCTGCAGCTCTGAAACGCCTCGGTGACCGAGATCTCTGGGCACCTCACCACCATAGTCTCGGTGCCCCCAAGCCACCACCTGCCGTCGGAACCCTCAGCCGTCAGAACACGCTGGCCCCACGTGGACGTCGGAACCGTCAGAACGCGGCGGTGGGTCCAATCAGTGACCTACTTCTGTATAACCCTCATAATACCTGCAACGACACATACTACAATTGAATTATAGGGAAGAAGCAGAATTTATATTCCAATCACAATTTACGCTTATAAATGGGTATACCACTAACTTCTACAGTACCTAGCGGCGAATATTGCATCCCACTGTTCTCACCGTTTGGATTTCTCGCTGAAACCACGCCACGTGGCATCACGTGGTCTCACCTTCGTCGCCACCACCTTCGACCCGTGGCCTGGCCACTCGCACGGATCGCCGCAAAGGCTGCGTGTGTCGCATGGATCGTCTGGACCTCCCTCAGTTGCTCCTGGGACGCGAGGCCGAGTAGACGGCACTGCAGAGGTCACCGGGGCGCGGCAGTGCCGAACGGTTGCATGTCGCAACGATATGCAACGATGAGGTCATTGAGGTGACTGTCTCCAAAAAAGAAAAACACCCCTGGCTTATCTCCTTATAGCCTTACAGGTCCTTGTACCAGAGTTCCAAAGGGGTGCCTAATGGAGGTTAGGGTGCCTACTGTCCACAAGGGTTGTGACTCCTATCTTTTTAAGGCCATTAAGAAGGGATGAAGAGGCAGTTTCTTGTCCTATCAAACACAACCATAGTGCGTGCTGGCTATCCAAAGACTGA